GTTTCCTCTTCAAATATTTTACTTTGTAAATAAATTAAATGTTTTTCCTGTAAATTAGAAGACCACTTTGTATATCTCAAATAAAGAAAAAATGTTGCTCAGTTTTTTTTTCAGAAATATTCCACATCTTTACTGCAGCTTCTAAATATTTAAACAATGAAAACAAAATACAAGATGCTATAAAACAATATTTGTAAAATATGTTTAACTTTGTAAGATGGTAAATCTGATGAATTTTAAGATAAAAATTAACCGAAAGCCTGTTTAGTAAAGATGTCATAAAATCAGTCAAAGTGATTTTTTGAACAAATTTCTTGTGTCAAAACTGTGCCTCATTTTTTTGTCATCTTAATTGAAAGCGAATTCACTGAGATACTCAGCGCACGTTCAACAATATATAGATTAATGACCACAGATTATTCATCTTTATCTGTGTCAGAGGTAGTTAGTATTGGAAAGACTTTTATTGTCATATTGGGGTCTAATCTTCTAACCCACATGCAGAAACACTCAGAGACAGGGAAAAAGGTCAAAAGGTTTATTGACAATGTTTACAGAGAAATGTGAACGGGGTCTTGGTTCGTCAGGCTGGTCACGGGAGGGAAGCAACTAGGGGAGGACCGATTGGTTAGAGTGGATCCAGGAAACCTGCTGTTTAACGGATGTTTGGGTTAATACCTGTTCAGGGGGTATTCTGACCAGCAGGGGGGGGGGGACCTTGAGGGTCCAGAGGCTGATCGGCAGGCTGAGGGCTGAGGGCAGACAGGCAGGTTCCAGGCAGAGAGAGTTTTCTCCAGGAGTTGACAGATAACCAGATATGTTAGGTTCTGAGAGGCAGAAGAACACAGAGTCAGAGAGGTTCTCAAAAAATCAGGAAAACAGATCAGAATTAGCTGGCTCAGGTTTGCTGGTACCATTACTGGCAAACACTCTGGCAGGGAAGTGTCTCCTCCTTAAGAAGGCCTCCAGACGAGCAGATGGAAAACAGGTGTGCAGAAGTCAGCTCACGCCCTCAGGAGAAAGGCTCCCTCTGGTGGAGAAAGGTGACAAGCCTGCAGTTCCCAACATTTATATTGTTTCAAAAATTTGATCCTTTAAAAAAAACAGGTTGAAAATACATATATATTTTTTCTAAAGTAAGATAGTTTTTAAACATAATGTGATATCTAATCAAAATAGGTTTCAAACGATGTCTTTGTGAATAAAACAGTAAAAGAAATGTCACATTGTCATGTGTTTGGTTTCTGTTAGCATTATCAATTATGTTTCCATTCATTCCAGTTAGTTTATTGATTTTTTTCTATTGTTGTTTAAACTATCTGCTCTGACATAATCTTCAGCTTGAACTTCAGTGGTGTTCAGAGTTTGATCTACTGCCTCTGAAACCATTTAGAGTCAATTAATCTATTTTTAGTTTAATTAATGAGCAGCTAGAGGGTTTGATCAGCTTTATGTTCTAATTAAGTTGTTTTTAGATTCAATATTTGGCTGAATTAAAGTTTTTTATTTTATTCTCTTAAAGCCTTATTTTGTCTGACCCAGCACTAGAGGCTTTAAACAATAGTTTTACTGTTCAAAGAATCTGTTCAGGCAGGAGAGATAAATCTGCATCGAGTTGTCAACGATGTTTACTTCCATTTATGTGTGCTCTATAGATGTTAATATATATTTTGAGGAAAGATATTTAGATCAAATTATTGTTACTCTGTGTGTGTTTAGTGATCTGTGTCAGAGTCTGCTGTGACATTCAGCTGGAGTTTCTGTTCAGTCTGACTGAGGGAGGTTTTTGTACGACTGTTTTTCACTGTGTGAACACGTACTGACTGTTGATGCTATGAGCACTCTGACAGTAGTAAACTCCAGCATCGTCAGCCTGAACTCCATTGATGGTCAGAGTGTAGTCAGAACCAGAACCACTTCCACTGAAACGATCAGGGACTCCAGACTGACGGCTGCTTCCACATTTTATAAGGAGTTTAGGAGCATCTCCTGGTTTCTGAAGGTACCATTGGAAGCAGTAACCTGTACTTGGATTAACTTTACATTTAATAGAGACTGTCTGTCCTGGAACAACAGACTGAGATCGTGGAGTCTGGATTATAGTGACTTGACCTGATGATCCTAGAAACACAAAATAAAAATACATTTTCTTGGAGAAAATTTGAGCTTAAAGACATTACATCACCATCCAAACCAAAGCTGGTTGATATGTATCCTGGGGAACATGGTTACATCTTAAGCCAAAGTTCTGATTAGAGAGTCTCACCCTGAACCAGGAGCTCCAGGATGGTCAGCAGTAGAGTCAGTAACATCATCATTGTGCTGCTGGTGGTTCAGTGGCTCTGAAAGGCCTGGACAGCCTCTGATCAACACTGACCTCTTAACAGCTGGGAGCAGAGAGGGAGGACACATATGCAAACACACTGAGTCAGTCACATGGAACTGAATTCGACATGTCATGTTTCCTTTTGAACCTTGACAAGTAGTTATTCTGGCCCAATGCCAAATGATGATCTGCTGCTTGAGGAAAGTTAACTTAGAATTTCACATTCACAATTCATTACCTCTGCCGAGGAGGTTATGTTTTTAGGAAAAGTTTGTGCCTTTGTCTGTCTGTGTAAAAAAACTTGAAAAGTTATGCTTTTAATGAAACTTTGATCAGAGGTGTCCCTCATGCCAAGGAACAATCTTGGCATGAGGGACACCAATAAAATTTGATGATGGTCCAGATCATGATCTGGACACAGGAATTTATTTGAAAAGGTAATGAGATAGGGATATTTTGCCCCATTGCTGTTTTCTGAGGAGCCACTAAAAGCTGCCCACCTGTGCCACACCGGTTGTGCAAATTCATTGAACTGTGAAAGCACTGGATCATGACCAGTTGAGCTACTGGAGCTGTGCTGCCGTCATCTGAGCCACTGCTGCAAACTACCAATCACCTTAAAGGGACCCCTCATCCAAGGCTACACTGAGTGAAAAAATGAACCCCTGCAAATGTTCATTCTGTTGTTTGCATCAGAATAACTCAAATCTCTTCAAGAGCTACCTGTTTAACGATCAAACTCGAACTGGGACGGAACAGGGCGGAGAGGTAAGTTTAAGGTGGCATAGAGGAGCAGCAGAGCAGACTGTCAACTCAAAATCTTGATGAGGTTGGAGCTCAGATTAGGTAAGGTGAGTTGTAGAACTCTCAGCATCTCAAGAGGCTTACTTCCAGGTCTGGAAGTACTTGAAAAATCCCAGAGGATCTGAAAGTTTCCCAAAACAGGCAAACACTCTGGCGAGGAGGTGATGATAGTCAGCTGCTCATATACTCCTCTGAGGTGATGAGAGATTTGTTGCAGGTGTGGGTAGTTGAGACGTGAAGGCAAGCCCTCCAAGACAGAAGTAACCAGATGGCACCATCTGGTGGACGAATGGTGGAACTGAAAAAGAAAACAAACTAACCCCACAAACTGGAACCACAACAGTTATAATAATTTAACTAGTCACCATTGATTGGTTTTACCCTTGATTTGAATGATCTATTAGTTAGCTAAAACTTCCAATTCCAGTTATTTCATTTAACCATAATCTACTGGTAAACTTGCACAACACATGTAAGTTAACATAAAACCAATCTGCATAAGAGTGAAAAATTTCAGAATTATTAATCAACATATAATATAAGGAAAGCAATGTTAAAACCTGCTGACTGGCATTTTGTTGTCTTTAATAACCTAGATGTTGTCTGCTGTGACTTACAGCTAGCTTCTAATCATGCTGACGTCCACATCCACTGACTGTCCCAGAGGAATTAACCCTGACAAAAGTTCAACAATCAGGGCTATAATTATTAAGCCTTTTTAAATATGAATCTTTTTCTATATTGACTTAGACTAACGACTTATCACTAATCTTATCTGAAACATGACACATCTGTCTGACATGTGATGCTTAACATCTTTCGTTTAACCTTGAAACCTGCCTGCTTCCTCGGTTCATTAGTGATGCTTGTCCATTGTCATGGTTTCTAGTCCAAAAGAAGGAAGTGAAAAACATTGTGTGAACTTCATTTATATATAAACAGAGCGAGAGTTTCAACCTCTTTATCTGTTTTACATGATATAAAAAGAAACAAGTCACATGAATTTTGCTTGCAACTCTCTTTATATTTTTATAACATCGACAATAATTTTATGAAATACAATCTAAACCATAATTCGCCTCCACCATCTTTTTTTCATCATCTGCCCTTTTTAATAGCGACTGTACATGATTAGGAGGGTGGAGCTGAAGTAAGAATATTGAAAGCTAAGCTGACAGGCTTAGGTATTTATTTATTTATTTATTTATTTATTTATTTATTTATTTATTTATTTATTTATTTATTTATTTATTTATTTATTTATTATTTCATTATTTTACTGCACCTTGGATTCCTGTCTCAGGCAACTTTTCCACCAGAGGTCTCCGGTAACTAAGTGTGACTAACTACTGTAGTTATTGTAATGATGCCGGGGTTTTTGCAGTATCTATACTTAACCTTAATATTTGATTTTTCTGGGGACTTTTCACTTTTATTCACTACATTTGAACACAAATATCTGTACTTTCTACTCATACTTTCTCAAAACTGGTGTGTTACTTCTGTACATATTTATACCGACATGACAGCTGCAACAAAACAGAGGGAAAATTGAGAGGAAATGAGAATATATCCAGAGACAGTTTGTTTATAAAAAAAAAAACTGTGATAGAAACATGCATGAAATCAGGGGGCTGGGAAACATTGCAGATGATGATGCAGATTCTGATACAGAAGGCATTCCCTATCATTTGATCCTTTATTTGATTTTAATGTACTTGAGTTTCTATCAATTTGAATGCTATTTCAACTTTAATGTAGTAAAGATTAGAGCTCTGAAGTATTCAGCTGCTAATTTTGGACTTTATTTCGATCCATATTATCTGATCGGAAATTTTAATATAAAAATAGAGAAAGTCGGTATGTTTTATGTTCTCTCATCCAACACCGTGAGCTGTGGAGTAAAACTAATCTATTTTCTGTGCATAAAACTTCAGTTTAAAAAAATAGGAACTTAAGAAGTTCTTTGCATGCTTTAAGGCAAAAATATAAATTTTCTATGTGCTCAAGTACAACGTAGAACCTAATTTTTATCTTTACTTAAGCAAAAGAGTTTAGTGAGCACTTTTCCTTTCACCAAAGTAATTTTAAGACAGGTGTGCGCTTTTATTTCAGTAAGAATATGAGTACTAACTTGTGCAGCTCTTGTTTCCATCCCTAACTTTTACATGCAGTCTATGAAGGAAACATAAAGCTGCAAGGTAAATCTCAATACTGCCATCCTTTGGCCATATTAGGGACGACAAGCGGTTGTTGTAAACATTTAAGCCATATCAATCATGTTTTCAAGTTTTACAAAATTGCAAAGATGTCCTGAAATATAAGACAAAATAATTTCTGTATCTTTACTAGAGGTGATGCCATCTGTTTATAAGCTTTCTGTTCAACCAAACCACAAAATAAATGAAAAGTAAGCTACTTCAGTAACTTGGTGACTTTTAGTTAGATAATTGATATATTCCTTTATTACTATAAGTCTGGAAAAAATGAAAAAGGTTTTGGCATCAAGAATCACCACTTTTTTTTAGCTTTAAAGAGCAATTTCTTAGAAGCGACATACTGCAAACTAAATGTACTTTATGAAAACATTTCTGTTACATATTGAGCTGTAGGACAAAAATATGAACATTCTATGTTCCAATCATTTATTCCTCCTGATCATCTTCCTTTTCTCATTTCGCTCTACTTTGCTCTTTTCTACTCTCCTTTGATGACATTTCTAAAGAGTGTGATCAGCGGCCTCTTGCTGTGCTCCTTCCAGCTCTTCATGAAGCCCCCGTAGCGTTTGTCTGCCGCAGGGCTGCTCCAACGGAAATGCTTCATCTTGTAGAGGATGTCTTTATTATCATGACGCTCCTTGGAGAGCTCCTCATCCTCGGCTGCTGCTTGTTCCCTGGAAAGCTCCAACCTCCCCAGCTCTCCAGGGAAAACAGTGATCCCATCCACACTTTTGCCTGTGTAGATTTTTAGTGGGCGGCGTTTTCTCCTGAGAGGATTCCCCCAACGAAAGTGCTTCATGGAGTAGGAGGCTTTGGTTTGAGAGGAGGAGGGAGGACTGGGTGAAGGAGAAAGAGAGACTGATAGAGAAGGCTGCGGGTAAACACTGGCAAGGATGGTGGTCAACTCATGAGGGTCGATTCCACAGAGCTGAAAACAGTCCTGCAGGACAAAGACATTGGTAGAACGAAAAAAACAAGTAATAAATGAATGAAAATAAACTAATAAATTACATTTGGACTTCTTTTGAGTCTCCTCCAGTTCTTTCCTTCACCTTGAAATTCTAAAAAACCCTAAAAACTCTAAGTTTGTGATTCTACAGCTTTTTTAGCCCATTTTCTATGCAACTTATTGTACTGTTTTGAATTATGTTTTCACATGCTAGAGCTTGTTAACCCAGTTGAGCAACATTTACTTTTCTCTTAAAAGATTCAACCACCAATCTGATTATCCCTACTGCATCTAAAGATTTACATTCGATAAATAAAATCTAGACCAAGAAGTAAATGAGCAGGTTTTCGTTAACATATTAAGCCTTTAGCATGTCTGTCATGATCTGACTCAGGGTATACATAGTGAAGGTCATTGAGCTTGATCTTTTTTGGTGGTTTTCCTGCTCAATTAGCTGGCTGGATATCTGTTCATTAATCAGACATGTTCAACAAATATTGCAGTTACCATGTTTCTCAAAACATTTTCTCGATGTTTTTCTGTAATTATACAGATTATCCACTTAATTTTTTTTTTTTAAATACAACAGATCATCTCTTAACTGTGAAACATCTGTGTTGCTTTTATTTTGTACCATTACTGCGTCATCAATCATACTCCTTCAGTGTGCAAAGCAAATCTGCACTGCAAAAAAATGAAATCTAAATAAGTCCTTTTTTATTTAAATAAGAC